CTGTCAATTTAAGCTTTGAACTGGGATTACTTTGTTTTCATATGCTTATAAGAAACTTGATTATTACTGGAAGAGTAAATCTTGAGGTCCATATATCTGTTTTTTTCTATAATGAAAATATTAAACCAAAAAGGTTTATTTGGCAAGATTCCCAGTGCTCTAACAGGATACTGGGATTGATTGGTTGTATTTCACAATCACACTTGCGAAATCATCCTGTAGATACTTCTCCAAAGGTTTTAGATGGAGCCTTGTGCCTATGAAGTTAGCTACCACATCAGTTATGTTTTGAACAAAGGACACTGCACATTCGAATGAGGCATGTTTGGATATCTGTAATTCCCTGTGCAGAAATGTATGACTTTTCCTAATCCTGGATCCTATCATAGGCTGGAATACCATCAGGTTAATCCAGACACTTTCCAAACATATGATCACAAACACACTCCTTGGGCCAGGGATGTATTGGGAAAATGATGAAAAAAGCTCTGGCTGACTTCATCCCTGGCTGTTCATACTCTAGTAGAAAGAACATGCTGATCAAATTCTAATGTAAATCACAGACTTAATTCACTGCTACAAAGTGGATTACTTCAAGTCAGAGACATAGATGTCTGCCTGCTTGCCTGCCTGCCTGCCTTAGGAATATTTTAGCCAAGTCTCAAATATGGGCAGGCAAAATTCATCCCAGGCAGAGACAGTAAATATTGATGTCTTTAAGTGCTCATAGAGCTGAGAGTCCTAGCTGAAACTGAACTAGGCTATGAAACCATGCAACAAGGGGCTGATAAGGATCTTAATTTTGGTTTCAGGAATAATTGGAAGCTTATTGCCTGTTTTAAAGCAAGCAAGGACATTATATTACCCTAACCTAGGAAACTTTAAATTTCCCAATTTAAGTCTTAAACTAGATCTAATTTCCTTTAATAGGCCTAGGTTACCCTCACATTTCATCCAACAAATGAAGGTAGAGTCATTTAAAGTTCCAATTTTATCTTCTAATTTTTGTTTCAGACTTTGTTATCTAATTTTCTGATATTAGTTTTAAACTTCAGAGCTCCAAATGTCTGTTTTAAAAGGAAAATGAAAAACATGGTTGATATCAAGCTGTTCAAATATTAGGAGAACTTTATATAGGAAGGAAAATGTTCATGAAGTAGTTAGTTCTTATACCTTGCTTCATCTGTGAGTGGAGGAGAAATGGGAGTTATGGGGTCACCTCAGATGGTGAGAATCTGGAGCTGACATGATGTGTACATTTATAATACCCATACTCAGGAGATAAAACAGGGTGTTTCCAAGTGACTTTCAGGCTAACCTACCCTTAAATATGGATAGCTGGTTTCAATCCTACCTACTTTTCACCCCCCATTTAATGTAGGCATTAAAAAACTTCTGCATGTATAGTGAAGTAGATACAATGATAAATTGTAAAACCAGAAAAAGGGAATTCCCACAATCAAGTCTGTCATAAATAATGTCATCACTGCTCAGCTATGTGAGTTATGATCTTGTTACCAGAGGATAGATGAGTGCTTCCTTTGCTTCCATGCAAAATCACAGGTCCTTGAGATCCACTGGGAAAGAATTTCAGAGTTTGCAAGGATCTATTTTAGTATAACAGAGAGACAGTAGGGAGAAATAGAAAAAGAGAGAACATTTCTAGTTCCCCATAGGATCTGGAAGTTAAAAACTCAGAATGGCTGCTCATATCTATAGCTTTTCTATAGTTTTAACTGGACAGTTACACTTCAGTGTAAAACTTCTAATCCTCAGATTAAGGATCTGATGGGTAAGATTGAGACAGGTTAGCTACTGGGAAAGAATGCTAAAATTGACTTCTAGTCACACCTTAGATAATGCCTCGGGGCTCTATCCTCACCTTAGTACCTCCCAAAGACTCACTCCTCACTCCTTGGGGGAAAGAGGTAATTTGTGGTCAGTTTTAGAATTTCTCTCTAAGGGCAGAGAAACTCTAGGACAGTTCTAACCAAACTGAAGTACCTTCACAGTAGAACCCCTTGAGTCCTGTGCTCAACAAACTCCTAAGTCTTCATACATCTCATACATATACTGCAATGAGATGGCAACTGTGTATATCAAGTCAATCAAGTCACATTTGATCTTTTCCCTAAGGTCATCCCATTGTCATTACCATGAACTCCTCCCACACTCCAAATCCTAAAGAGCTGAAATGTCCTTAACCATGTGTGTGTCCTTGAGCAACTAGTTTTTTCCACCATTTCCCTTAACAGTGTATTTCTTTTTAATTTTAATACATTTTTATTGTAAAATACTGTACAGAGGGGTTACAGTTACATGAGCAAGGTAATGAGTACATTTCCTATCAAGCATTGTTGTCTCCTCCTGTTTTTCCCCTACCATCCCTTCCCCCCACCTCGACAACTACACCCTCCCCACCCCCATCTAAATTGTAAAGTTCATTTTTCAACATAGAGTCTTGCACATCTCATTGTTACAATGGGTCTTAAACACCCTGCTTTGCCAGTTTAGAAGATACCCAAGTCCCAGCTAAAACACAGGTTATCTTCAGAACTTCTTTTTTTCAGATATGCCTTTCATTCGTCCTGTCTGTGCTCTTTCCAGAATTGTTCTCCATTTTGAAGGAGAAAGCACATTTAGGTAGCCCATCCTATATTTTAAGCTTAACATTAAAAAGGAAGTATGGAAGAAGGGGAACTTATCTGCCATTTCAGTTTGCTTCCTGTCCTTAATTTCTGAGCCTGGTCTGATATTCATTAAAAATAATATAATTTCCAGGTCTCCTCATCTATCTGTCCTGACGTAGTTCCATAGTTGACTTATTTCACCTTTTCATATTATCTTTTCCAGGTTGATGGCTCATTTAAGTTAACAGCTTTTTCTTTTAAAATGTCTAGATGCAGAACAAATAGTTTGTGCAATTTCCATGTATCTTGAGGAAGTATCAACAACCATAATAAGACATTATTCCAGGCATTGTGGTTCCACTAATGCTCAAAACAAGCAAAAAATTAAAGATGAGGGAAGGAAAAATATTTTAAGTGATAAATGTTTGAAACTGATAAATAGTATTTAGAAAAAGAGTATTCAGAAAAATCAATAAATACTTTTGATAAATATTATATATCAGAAAATTAGAAGCTGATAAGTATTATAGGAAAATAATAAAATGAGGAGAGATGATTGAAATTGGAGTCATATATATTAGTTTGGACTAGTTCTAGCCTCATTTTAATGCCTGTGCTTATTTCAAATAAATCTTAAAGTGAAATAAGCACCCACCTTTAGGTTCTAACTTTCCCAGTATACTGAATTTACTGTGTACACAGTAAATTTCTTTCACAGTGTCAATTCCCTCACTGTCACTTTGACCAGATGGGAGGCAGGCTCATGTTAAACAGGATTAGTGTTCTGGATACACGTAAACTAAAAGGCAAGACCATAATTGGGACCTTTGTAGTCTGTGCCAGGGGCTTTCTTTGGATTTAGTGAGGTTGGCATGTATGGATAATGAGTTGGAGGGAAAACAAAAATACATTTTGAATAATGAATTTCAATTTCAAAATGAGTAGAACTTATCGTATTTGTCATCTTCCTTTTCACTAATTTAGCAGTAGAAGCCACTCTAATTAACAAAAAAAATTTGAATATTCGCACTTTTCTTGACAATTGCTGTCTATCTTATAGTTAGCTATTCTCAGTAGATATACATGTGGAAAAACTGTTCTAAAGTAATTTTTGGACTGCACTATGGGATCCTGAGGGGATCACCTAGTCTTAGCATACAACACCAGTGTCCTTTAGAATATCTTTTTAACTGTTTGTATTAAAAAGCACTAAGCTTCTTTTCTTCATAATGTATTCTTTTTTTAAATGTTTTTTATTGTGAGAATACTGTACAGAGGAGGGTTACAATTGCATGAGCAAGGTAATGAGTACATTTCTTATCAAGCATTGTTGCCTCCTCCTTTGTTTTTCCCCTACCATCCCTGCCCTCCCATCTCCATGACTACACAATAGGGTTTAGGTTTCTTTGGGCCTGGTTTACTACACTAATATATTTTTTTTCCAATTCTTTCCATTGCCTTACAAATGGGCAATGTCATTCTTTCTGATGGAGGCATAAAATTCCATTGTGTACTACAAACAAGACCATACTGAAGCTACCAGTACAACTATGTTTATTGCAGCATTATTTACCGTAGCTAAGATATGGGACCAACCCAGATGCCCCTCAGTAGATGAATGGATCATAACATATTCTTTAGTGTACTCATTTTAGCTTTCAACTACTGCTTTCAGGCATTTCATGTCTGTAATGTTGCAACAGGATTTTCATACCATTCTAAGAATTTATTTGTTTTCCTTTACACAAGTTTAGATTGCTTGTCTTTTTCCCCACCATATCTGGTCCAATGGAAAATCACTATTAAATCATATGTAGTTGAATCTCACTATGTAAGTTGTTTAGCATGCGATTTCACACAAAGAGGAGTCTAATATTCCTTGGGAAATGCAGATGATCTATTCCCACCATACACGTATGCATCCCAATTTTCTTTATCTATTCTTAGAGATAAATGTTTCTCTGGTCACGTAGCATTCAGAAAGGTTTCTGAACTAGGAGAATGTTCCATAGACCATGTATAGTCATTTAGCCAGAGCATCAAAGTATATAATCATAGGGTGTTAGGAATCTTAATAAAAATTGCTACGTCAGATAGCATTCCTAAATAGGTATTTAGGACAAAAGAAATACTGTTTCTGAAGACTTTATCAGTCTTTTCTGTTTTGAGAAGCAATCATTTCATAATTGATTGTTACTAATTGTTGGATGGCTCAGCAATAAGTAGATAGTTTCGTGGTAGTAATACCTACTTACCTACATACCTACCTACAAGCTTACACAAGTCTATTTAACCTGCCTAGGTAGCTTCTTAATTAATGGCTGCACTTAAGGGAATTAAAATATGATATGTGAATTTTTTCCCTTCTAGGGAGGAGCAGAGCATAACATTCCAGTTGTCATTTCAAAAATCTCCAAAGAACAGAGAAGTAAGTGTTTGGCTAGTAGCTATTTCTTTGTGCAGCTTTGCTATTTAGGTTGCTTCACCATCTAGGATGGGATTAACTTTCTCCAGTTCAAACAGTAAGTATGGCTGAATCTGATTCCTGAGTTTACCAATTACCTCTCCTTAAGAAGACATTTTTTTCACAGAAAGGAATCTAGGTCAAAGTAAGAACACAATGTGATCTTGTATGATTTGAAGACTGTTTTCAGTTGTTTTGGTAAATAAAGGAACAAAACTAAAGCTAAAAATATGTAGTAAAGATATTTCCAAAAACTTTTTCATTCAGTTTTTGTGCACAATTTTATCCAATTAGTTCTTCTTATGAAGCTTCTTCTAGAAAATACAATAAAAAATACAAAGAAGTTGTTTCATTCCTAAACTGCAAATAAAATCAGTAAAACAATGTAATCTTCATAAACTACCTTGGAACTCCTGCCACAGCTGATAGGTTGGATGCTATAGACATATTCTAGTTACAAATACATAAGAAAACTAAAACTGATGATGTTTTTGTAATTCCAAGATAAAACTGGAATTAAATTTTAAAAAAGATTAAATAAAAGTCTATGAGTTTCAGTAATGTAAGTGAACCAAATCATATTATTGTTTAGAATTCCAATTTTCAGTGAATCTTTAAAATATTAGCCAAATAACACTTTTTTAATCTGTCAGTTTTACATTTAATTAAAAATACATTCTTTAATTTGTCAGAGGAAACAAGTCAATATGCAATCTTTTTTTTTTATTCATAGCGGAACTTTCGGGACTGCTCTTTATTGGGGATGCAATTTTACAGGTACTCATCTTGTCATTATTATTCATATGCAACCAACATACAAAGTCAATTTGTAATACATGACACTATGCTTTTCTTTTCATTGCAGATAAATGGGATTAATGTGAGAAAATGCAGACATGAAGAAGTGGTGAGTCCCCTTTTCCCTAGTGTCTTATTTTTCTCCATATGCTAATAAAAGATGTAATGCATTGAAAAATATTACCAACTACAAAGGTACAACATGAATTCAGTCTTTGAGAGGATCTCCTAATTGATTTTTTTCCTCTTAGAAATGGATGGCTATTACCCAGTATAAAACAATTTGAGTATATATTTAAAGATGATCATTTGCTATTTTCAATCTGTACCAGTTGGCATTGATGCGATTTGAGGATATGGAGTCATTCTCTCTGCACGTTGAAGAAGTGAAAGGCAGGAAATTATTTTTAGCAGACAGAGCAAGTTTACTTGACAGGGAAAAGAAAACTCAGAAAATAAGGACACACTGACACTCTGCAGAGGTGTCCCAAAAGGAGTCAAATTGGGTCCTATGGGAGAGCAGTTTTTATGGAATGGGGCTTCTTCCATATTTTCTCCCTGGGACTTTGTGCTGATTGCTGGACCATATGCTTTAATTTGCACTGTGCTGTGAGTAGCAGGGAAGAAGACAGGAAGAGAAAGAGAGATCTCAGGCAGAGAGTTTCAGTGCTAGTCAGAGTAGCCATTGATTTTTCTGTTATTTATTTGATTTTATTTTATTGTAAAGATGCTGTACAGAGGGGTTACAGTTACTAGAGTAAGGCAGTGAGTACATTATAAGTCAATCATTGTTACTCTTTCCCTTGTTGTTGTTCTCCTATCCCTTCCCCCCTACCTCCTACATTCCTCCAACCCCATCCCATTTGCTCCCCCCAAAACTTGATTTTGGTAGACTGCATTTTGTATATACATTTGATATTTACTCTTACATTTTCCTGGAATATTTCTAACTGCAGATTTGGAAGTCTGAGATTGAAATTTAGCAAATTTGGGTGGGCTTAAGAATTTGAATTATAGTCCACATTCTACAAAATGCCATTGTACATGGCTTCTCATCTAGACTTGGTTTCTATTATGTGAGAAACATACTCACCCATCCAAGCTGAAAGGACAAACTCAAAGACAGAAAGGGCAGTGAAAGGGCACTCTTTTAAGATGGTGTCTGATAGGAGATGACAGAAAGCAGTTTTATACCTAGCAGGTGGTAATTCTTCCAGCAATTCCTCATTGGTTGGATTATTGGAAAGTTTACATTCTCTCCCACATGTCATCTAATTAAACATGCTCTTGATATTGGCTAAATTTTAGAAGTGTCTTTTGTTTTGGAGGGCAAGTGTACTCTTCTGGGCATATGTTTTGTGGCATATACACAGTTTCTACACATTTTCCCATTTTCTTTCAGTCCAATTTTCTTATCAGTACTGTTTATTTTCAATGCATGAAATTTGTCTCATCCACAAGTTGTTATGCAAACAAGCTACTGGTAATTTGCCACTTGGGGTTAAATGAATTGTGTTGAAAATGGACCAACATTGATTTTATTTCTAGCATGTCGGGAATGATGATATGACATCAAAAAAATACAGAGAAAGCAAGACAGTGTTGGGTATTGTGGGACTCCACTTGGTAGATTAAAAGAATTCATTAAGAGCTCTTAATGAATTCTGGGATCAACCTTTAAGGGAAGGGGTAAGAGGAGACATCGTATTTAAAATCTTATAATTACAGATCAAGCAAAATGAAATTACTATACTTTCTTTGTGAATCATAGCCCTAGTTTATTTTGTTTGGGGATATATTGCTCTTCTGTTAAACTTTTCTGGCATGTTAAGATATTTCAGATTGCACAGAGGGAGCTGTACTTCTCTGAAGAGCTAGTTTCTTAGGTAGAGACATGGCAGAGCAGTTGGGGAAGGGCATCTGTTGAAACTGCTGAAGATTTGTTGGGACTTATCACTTGACTTTGCCCATAAAGCTCATCTGGCCACACAGTTACCATCTATGTTGAAAAGCCATATAAGAAGTATGTACTCCCACTCTCAAATATCCTGCAAACATATAGAAAAAGTTAATATTTTAAAAGAGTTTTCTGAACAAATGAACAGCACGGCACAGAGCTCCAATTTTGTAGACCCCATGTAACTTTTAAATATAGCCATGTAAGCAAAGTCACTTTTAAGTTTAGTTTTTCATTTTTTTCAAGTACAAAGTGATTTAAAGTCATTATCCAGGGAATAAAAACGAAGTGCATTCTCTTTTAAAACCTCATGCTGTTAGATGGAATCATGCTTGTAATTCGCTCTTCAGAAGCAAAGGGCGTCCTCAGACAAACTTCTACAGAGCTTTGATTAAATAGATTAGTGTGACATAAAAGCTTAGAGCACACTAATGTGCCTCTTCAGATGGTGCCCACTCTCATCAACAGGAACAAACTTTGAGGTTTTACTACAAATTACATTTAGCCCTCATAACAAACTATATTTTGAGGTTTACTGTACCAGCTTTGAAAGACAGGTATTGATATTAATATATTTACTTATTTGGGTGCTGGTACTGAGGCTTGAACTCAAGGCCTGGGTGTGCTCTCTGAGCTTTATTGCTCAAAGCTACTACTCTGTCACTTAAACCACAACTCCACTTCCAGCTGCTTTGGTGCTTAATTAGAGATAAATTTCACAGGCTTTCATGCTCAGGTTGGTTCTAAACCATGATCCAAAAGTCTCAGACTCTGAGTAACTAGATTACAAGAGTAAGCCTGTACCCTATGCCCTGCCTGAGAGTCGTACTAATAATTAGAATTATTTCTGATTTTCCCAAAGCAATAGTATTTTTTTTGTCCTCAGTCGTTAATATTTAAGTGAATAAACTTAATACCTCAGAAGGACTAAGGAATCAATTGAATGTTAGGCATGAACTTTTATTTTTAATTGTGAAAATACTGTACAGAAGAGTTACAATTACATGGGCAAGATAATGAGTACATTTCTTATCAAGCATTGTAGCCTCCTCCTTTGTTTCCCCTTC